AAGGTCCTGAGTTCAATCCCTGATACCAAAAAAAAAAAAAAAGAAAGTAGACTTTACATATTTCAGTAAAGTTAAAAGGATCTTTTCAAACAATAGGATTCTAATATCGAATCATTATTTTGAAAATTCTGCTGTAAACCCCTAAAAAATTCTTAACTATAAAAATAAGGCAACTTCAAGTTAGAAGCTTATGGATTAAATTAACTCTGGACTACAGTGCAGAAGCTAAACTGGTGCCCTCTCATGATCCATAACCTTGACAGTCGTTAGCAAGAAGTTTATTTCACTTATTGGTGAAATAACAATCTCTCAAGTACATCAGAGAGTTTCTAAGACCCTACTAAATAGTAGCCCCATTACAATCATCACAAACTTTATGCTGTCAAATACATTATCTTGAAAGAAAATTATGCAGACAGCTCTTCTACAGAACTCTATTTGTGCCACATGCTTATTATTCTTTGAGCTAAAGGAGGTGGCAGGGAACATAATTTCTGTTTCAAAGTTCTTTTGTTTTCTGCTACCTTTATTTAAATGTTACCAGGTACTATTTTTATATCCTCTAAAATGCTTTGAAAAACTGTTAAGTGAATAGTGGTACATAAAATAGAAGAGAATTTTCATATTTTGTTTGTAAGAAGCAAAGTGAATAATACTTAACTTGGGGAAGATAATATACTTAAAAGATTAACATGTATCTGAGAAACTCCCCCAACCTTGTAAAAATTCTCAGTTCAAAAGAGAAACTGAATCCTAGCTAATAATTTTTTTATTAAAAGTAGCATTCATACCACAACAAATTTATATGAAAATGTAGTGTTCTTAAATTTAAGCCTTAAATGACCATTTTAATGTTATTTGGACATGAATAGAATTAGAACCTATTTGTGTTCACTTAATGTTTTGTGTGAAAGGCCAGATTGCTTAAATACTATTATAATATTTTATGAGAGGTTTCTAAGCAATCTAATTACTTATTTTTATAACAATAATACAGGTTTGATCACCTTAGAATTGTCTATAATTAGGTTTGACTATGTAGCAGATATATTAGATTGAGACCAATTAATTTCTGGATTCTGTTTTTATTTTTTGGTACTAGAGATCAAACTCGGAACCTTGCGCTTGCGAGGCAGGCGGTGGAAACACTGAGCTAAATCCCCAGCCCTGGATTCTGTTTTTAAATAGAAATCTTCCTTATGTAATTTACCAGATTAGGTTGAGAAGAAACTGCCTAACAATGAATACAAGTATAGTATATATCTTACCATATAAAAATAATCACTCATAAGGCATTCTAATCAAAAATACTTATCAAACCACTGTGAAAAAACCATAAAAACCTATAACTACTTAGATAAAAATGTTACTTTTTTAACCAAAAAAATTCACATATTTATTATCTGTTTTTTTAAATCCCCAAAATATACCTAAACCTTCCAAAATACTTTTAGTAACTGGTAAGTGCTATACTCTTTGCTTTTTCATAAGAAATTACTAAAAACAATGTAACTAAATCAGCCTGGTGCCATCCTTGTGATAAATGACAGGATCCTTCAAAACTGTAAAATCCACCAACCTTAATCAGGTTGTTTAAATTGCTCATTTTAAAGTATGATATTTGCTGGTAGCTATCTAAGTCCATTAGCACCACATACAGTGAATTAAATAATTTTTTCAGGAGATGTCTTAATTTTTTAATTAAAAATGCTTAAAGGTTGTACAATTAAATTGATCTCTTGGGCATGTGTTTTGCATTTTTGGGGGGTGGGGGTGTGTTTTGAAAAACCCACTTTTTATCTCATCAAATGGAAGGATTTTCCCCTTAAGATTATAAACATGAAGGCAGGGAAATACTTTTGCACTTCAGCAAAGAATCTTGCTAATATTCATTATTTGCTTCTATCCAAAGTCAGGCTTGCTTCTATCAGAGGTCCCAATAAGTATGTGTACACACACACACACACACACACACACACACACACAAATCAAACTATAGAAAAAATTAGCACATACTTTCTATATGCAATCCATTAATAATGCAAGAATTCACCCAGATAATGTCAAATATGTAATACTCTTTCCTCCAAGATGAAGCTCTTCAACAAATACTTTAGCATTCATACTTCATCTCCCTCCATTACTTCATGTGTTTCAGGTACTAACACCATGACTCAGCTTAGACAATGAGGGAATATACAATAGGAACCCTAACCAGTGAGGTCGGGAAGAGTGTTGTCGGATCATGGTCATTTCACATAGGGAAGCACTGAAATAGGATTGCTTGGGCTGGGGATTTAGCTCAGTGGTGCAGCCACCTGCCTTACAAGCACAAGGTCCTGAGTTCGATCCCTGGTACCAAAAAAAAGGATTGCTTTTCAAAAAATATGGCAGTCATTGATATAATCAGATGCTTCTTTTTAAAGCTGAATAAAATGCAAATGAGCCCTTCTCATTTTTGGAAAGTATTAACTGGATTGAAAATTGTGAAAAGTCAATTTTCAATATTCATGTAAAATGCTTTTTACTGGTCTCAACACATAGACACAATGATGAAACACTGACATTAAAAATATGTGCTCTAGCAATAGCTGTACATGGCTCATTCTTGGCCAAGAATAAATGTTTTCACTAGAATGTTATGATTTCCTAGGACCTTCCATCAGGCCTGGCAGAATCCTCTCTCCCCTGTTGGAGGAGAGGTTGATGACCAGGGTCCTTAGAAAAGTATTTCTGCAAGAGGAATGCAGTGTTATCCATGATGGTTACTTGGGAAGTTTGTCTTCTGGATTAAAAGTACTATTCCCCTTGTTTTATTTTTAAAGTTTTCAGGAGGTAAGCCCATGCAGAAATGGATATATACATTTTGCCCCTCTTCTAGGGGCAAAAGGAAGGTGGAGAGGGAAACTGCATTCGCCCCATTTCCACACTTCTGCACTTGGTAACTATTGCCTGTTTCAAGGAGTTTGTGCATGGCTTTTGTAAGGGACTTGAGCAAAACTAGGAAATCATTCGTTCAATTCTGGGATGCATATTCTGCACACTCTCTGCTCCAATTAGGAAAATGCAATATATTTTCTGAGGTAAGACTACTACTTAGGAGTGTAACAAAATCACACATTCACAAAAATAACTCACCTTATTCACCATTTTAAAAACTATAAAAGTGCACTGTAAAAAAAGTCTTTGAGGGCCAGGGATTTACCTCAGTGGTTCCACCGCCTGCCTCGCAAGCAGAAGGACACGAGTTCGATCCCTGGTACCAAAAAAAAAAAAAGTTTTTGAAAACCAAATATGATGTTGATCTGTACACAGGGTTGAACTAGCAAAAGGAAACCAGAGCATGTAACACCAGAGAAGTGCCAGGAAAAAGCTTACGGCATATTGTAAGTGCTCAGTAAATATATCTTCCTTCCCCAAGGACTCCAGTTTCCATTTAGCAACTCCCCATGTCACTCTGCATTGCAGTCTGGTGACTTCCTCCAATCTAAAAGTGACTGCATTTCAGTGGTAAAGAGAGTTTCATAAATTTGACTTATTTTGTAGTACTTCTGTGCTGTAATTATACCTTTAAATTCCACAGATGATAAATTTCTCATTTGTTACTGAATAAGAAATGCCACAAATGTGTAACTAGTTCATCCGTAAGCTTTTTTCCTACCAGGAGCTGGAAGTTAAGTCACTGTAGAAGTATTTATTTGATTATCATCAGAGGCCATTTCATTAACCAGCTGTTCTATAGATAACTGGATAGCATTCTTGACGAGAGAAGAAGCTGTTTCTATTAAGAGTGTTTCATACTGTTCTGAAGTTCTACCCTCAAAATCACTGTCATTAGCAAAAAACCCTACTTGTTCATTTTCAATTGAAATAAAGAATTGTTTAGGGACATTTTTAGATTTTTTAACATCAAATTCACTGACTTCTGTGTCTGTAATAATAATGGCAATTGGCTCCATTCTTTTGCTTTCTTCTGATTTGGGTTTCTCTACATTGATCTTATTTTCTTTCAAGTCTGATTTCTGGCTCAATTCAGTATCTTTTGGCTCATTCTCTTCTTCAACTACAGTCTCTCTACTTTCATAGACTTTCCAACTTGGTTCACTTTCTGGGGTGCTGTTACTGGATTTTTCCACAGTTTGCCGATCCGGTAATGCGGGTGAAGGACTGGCATCAGAAGCCACTGGTTGCTGATTGTCTGTTTCTGAACTTCCAGGTAGGCTTGCTTGCTGGGATTGAACACTTGGCTTCTCCTCCATCATTTCAATTTCCTTTTCAAGGAGTAGAGTTCCTGTTTGAAGAGCAGAATGCCCATTATCTAGCTCCAGTTCAACTGAAATCACATTCTCTCCAGATGTTATGCTGGTGCTCACATTTGACTCACAGAGCTCCTCCCCGTCTTTTTGTGGAATGCCTTCTTCACATGGATCTTGGGTTGACTGAGCCTTCATTGCCTGGTCATCAGATTGGGTTCCAGTTTGTATATCCAAAGCTTTTGCCTCACCCTGGGCTTTCATACTGCAGTCTGAGTCTTCTATAATTTTGGACTGATTACTCTTTTGTGTCCCTCTTGAGAATTTTATGCAGGAAATCTTAAGTCTGGATTTAGCCTTTTTCTTAGAAAGATCATCATTTCCAGCCTTTATTTCAGATTGTACTTCAGCCTCAGGTGGCTTTTGCTGCTTTGAAGAGTCTGACCTTTTCCTGCGTGACACCAGGCCTTTGATTGAGGCCCAGGTACTCCCTGGTTGCTGTGGCTGGTCAGAAGCCCCTTCTTGTAGGGGATGCTTCCGGGCCACCCCAGCAGCCTCAGAGCCAGCTCTGGGCTGCAGCACCTTGGCTGCTTTCTTTCTTCTCTTGAAGCAAAGTATGGATGTTTTCTCCTTCTGTTTCTTGTCCTGTGGGCTAACTTCTGCAGATCTCTTCTCATCTTTATTTTCTACTTGAATTTCAGAAACTGTGGCCTCCATTTTTACACTACACTGTTCAGTTCTCTAGAAAACTACATTCTGTTTTTCCTGTGGCATCCTTATAGAAGGTAGACAAAAATATGACAACTCTGTAAAAAATGTTCCAGGTGTAGTCATTCATTCCTTTTGCTTTACTCCATTCTGTTCTTTTAGGTGGTTTCTCTAGTACACAAATACCTAGTTTCTCTATAGCTTTAACTTTTTCTCTTTAATTTCTTCATGAAAACTCTTTACTGGTACATTTTTGCTTTACCTAAAGATCAACCTGATGAGAGAAAAGAAAATAGTATTTTATTTCACAATGCGCCTACTATTTTCTAAAGAGACCACTTCTGTTGAATGGAGATTTTACTAGGCATGTTTTCCATATAACTTACTGAAATGACTGGAGAATAGAAATTAGGGTTTACTTTTTGTCCTGTCAACTGTCAAAAAAGATTTCAATGTAAATATATTTTTTTGTTAAAATTTCATTTTGGATTACTCTGTAGATCTGATATTACCAATTATTTAGCTGTGCTATCTTTATGAATTATTTATGACCCTAAATTGCAAGGTTAGCAAACAACAAGAAAAATGAAATGCAGGCTGATAAGCAAGTTAATGTAATTTTTATTGTGCAATTAAGAATTTTGAAGCTACAAGCTGGGTGTGGTGGCACATGACTATAATCTCAGCACTTGGGAGACTGAGGCAAGACAATCACAGCGAGTTCCAGGCAAGTCTAGGCTATATATTGAGTTCAAGGCCAGCCTGAAGTACACAGCAAGACCCTGTTCTCAAAAAAAAAAAAAAAAAAAAAAAAAGAATTTTTAAATTACAAAGGACATTAGAGATTTGAGATCATTCCAGTCCCGCCAAATGACAAAACTGAGCTCCAAAGGGGTTAATTGGCCTGCCAAAAGTAAGGTCCTAACCAGAGATAGAAAGTAGAGATTTTTGCTCTCTAGTTCCTTCCATTGTTTCATAAAGTTTCTCTTCTAAAAAATGTATGTTTCATCCAGGAGGTGCTACTTTTCATACATCTTCTTAGGAAATTCTAACATTACTGTCATTCTGTGCTTAAATTAGTTGTGTAACTTTGACAGTGAGCTCCCGTTCATACTTTCCCACTATAATGTGCACATAGTTGGAGATCAGTGAGAGTTAATGATGCTAAGAGCTGACATTTACGGAGCAACTCGTGTGTATCAGGCAGTGCTAAGCACTTTTATATACATTTCTAGCCTACCCACAATATCACAAAATGAGTAGGTGGTGGTATCTCCATCTATAAAGGAAGCAGCTTGCCCAAGATTACAAAACTCCCCAACACTGCCTGTTTTGAAGCCTGTGCTCTGAAACTAGGCTTTAAGAATTTCATCCGAGCTGGACATGGTGGGCGAGATCCCTGTAATCCCAGCACTCAGAAGGCTGAAGCAGGAAGATCACATTTGAGTCTAGCTTGGTATGCATAGTGAGTTCAAGGCCAGCCTGGACTATATCGTGAGACCCTGTCTCAAAAAATCAAAAGAACAATAATTACAAAAAAGAATTTCATTAGAAAATGAACTCTTTGGAGATGCTAACATGCAATAGATTCCTTAGTTTAAAATTTTTAAATTGTTTAATGGGTTTTTTTTTCCCCCCTAACAGTACTGAGGCTTAAATCTAGGGTCTTTCTCATGCTAGGCAAGTGCTCTACACTAAGCTACATTTCTGTCCCTGTTTAATGGTCACTTTAGCAAAATGCAGCCTGTTGTCTCATAACTGAACCAAGACTAGACTAAATTCTTGCTATTTTCTTTTTCCATTTATTTATTTGTTTGTTTGTTTGTTTGTTTATTTGTACCAGGGATTGAACTCGGGTCCTTGTGCTTGCAAGGCAGGCGGTGGAACCACTGAACTAAATCCCCAGCCCTAATTCTTGCTATTTTAAAACCAAGCTTTTGAAAGAGTTTTAATAAATTCTTTGGTTTTTCAAATGAATTTAAAAACCAAATATAAATTGACAAGCTATGCATCTGTAAAACTATATATATATATATATATATATATATAAAATTAATTACAGACTAGTATGCAGCACCAAAGAATACAGATATGAAGTAATTACCTAACAAAAATCCTACTAATTTTAGTTGGCAGATGTCCTAAAATAGGTAAAAGGAGTCTTTCCTTTTACTGTTTTCATGTAAATCCTTCACTGTTTTGTTTGTATACCTTAACTCCATGTACTGTAGAAGAAACTGGAATCCTGAGAAACCAGTTTATGGACTAAGGAAATTTGGGGGGAGGGTTGGGTATTGCACACGTCATTCCTCAAACAAAAATATAAAGTCATTCTAGAAAACTGATATAACAGAACTAACATTTTACAGCATCTCTCACACAGAATGCTTCAGTTAGCACCGAGCTTCAGTTGATTCCTCACCCCTTGGGACTCCTCAGGCTGAGCATTTGTATTATGCAGAGGATGTATCAGTGATACAGCCCTGAGCATGTTTAGGAAGGCAGCCTTCAAAACGAACTTGAACTGTCCAGAGACAGTTGCTCCAGAAACTCGCTGGAATCTGTACCATGTTGTAGAAGTAAAACAGATACCCCAATGGAGGGAAGCCTAGCTGAGGTGGGGAGAGAAGCAGCCTATAGATATTAAAACTTTGCAGAATCTTAGACAGCAAATGACATAATCCTCCCTTAACCTGCAAGGTAGCTTTACTGCCTTGGGAAACATTAAAGTCCCTGTTGTTCTTTCCTGGCAGAATGTCACGTCTCAGGCCACACAAGACACCACCTCCCTTTTCCCCCTAGAGCAGCAAAGAGCCACCACTACCGCGGAAAGCAGTGAATCTCTCCCAGCACCAGATATGAACCATCCAGCTTCCTCCTGGAGGAAGCGATCTCTCCCTCTGGCTCGATGCCCCTCACAGCAGGATATAGAACAGGATAAAGTACTCAAAAAGGAAAATGCCGGGGGCGTGGAACAGAGAATCTAGCCTCAAGCTATATGCAAAATTATAATGGCCCTGAACCCAAAAATCACATTTCCCCAAAAAGGCAAAGAAGGAAAAAATGCTACCTACAACCTATATGCTTCCAGGACAAGAGGTAACGCGAAGCAGGTGGGTGGGCTGGAGACGCCCGCGGAGCAACGACCTTCCAGGTTCTTACTCCCAGCCACCTCGGGGGACCTGATCCTCGGGGTCCCAGGCACCTCCCGCCCAGATTAGCGGACTGGACACCGCCGCGACTCTCCACCCCCGCAGCCTCCTCCTGCTTTCACTTACCAAGAGCACCCTGGTCCCTGGCCAACCCTGCTCCCGAGGTCGGGGCGGGTGGCTCCTCACTGAGCCAGGCACCGGGGAGCCACGGTCGCACCCGGAGCTAGGGAGCCTTCTGCAGAGGGACCGCAGCCCGGCGGCGCCCCCTCCCCAGAGCGCGAGACCGACAGCTGGCGGCGCCAATGCGCGCGGAGGGGCGGGGCGGGGCTCGGGCCGGGGCGGCGGGGCGGGGCGACCCGGGGGTGGGGGATCGCGGGACCCACCTGCCGCTAGCCGCGCCGCGTGGGAGACGGTCAGGCCTCCCCGGCCCAGCCAGATTCCCGCTGCGGGTCTCATGGGGCAAACAAGGGCGGAGCGACCGCCGAGAGCAGAGCCAGAAGATGGGGAGGGGGCCGGGGATTCAAAATTGTGCATAGACATGAGATGTCCTTTGGAGAGAAAATTGCATATACGAATCGGACCAGAAACAAAACTTTCCCAGGAGTGGGTGTGGATGATCCCGGTTCGTAGCAATTGGAGAAGAGGCGCGCTCACTCAGTGGTCTGCAGGAGCAGCCGCATCCAAGCCAACAGGGAGAGAAAGGGTACGGAATGCAACCCCATTCCTCTTTTGTTACACATTTCCAAAAGTAAGTTGAGGTAGCAGCTTACAAGTTGCCCATGTTTCCCTTTAGGACTCATCGCTAGGTGCCTGCTTTACCTTGTCCTTCTCCATTCAGCGAGGTAGAGAGCAGAAGAGGGCGCCCTCGCGGCTCCAGACCCAGTGGGAGAAAAGCGCACAGGCCCCTCTGTCTCCCGCCTGGCGGGTTAGGTCGTTTTCAGGCATTTTTCTGAGGCTTTATCTAAACAAGGGGCCAGCCACGGTGGAGAGCAGCACTCATCTGTCTACTTAAGGCATATGCCGATGCGAAGGGTTGCTATGAGACCTCCAGCCTTGAGGTCCAGCAAGGCTCCTCACAGTCCAGGCTCCTCCTCCGACCTTCCAAGCCCTGCTGCCGGATGAATCCTGGAGTAAGGTGGAAGAATTACTGAGAAACAGCTGCACTCGTCACCTTTCTTCAATGGGAAGGTCAATCCCTGGTATCCATTTTTGAATATTTTTCTAGCAAGACATGTTACCTTTGTACGAGTCTCTAGACTTACTCCACCAAGGCTTATTAACGAAAGAACTCTTGGGACACAAAGCTGAATCCCAATAGTCAAGATCTTAAATTTACAGATAGAAGAGACAAGGGCTATAAAACAGGAATATCCACTTTAGTTTTAATTAAGAATGCAACCCCCCTGGGCCGGGGATTTAGCTCAGTGGTTCGGGCAGGGGCGCCTGCCGTGCAAGGCAAGCGCACCATCCCGAGTTCGATCCCTGGTACCAAAACAAACAAACCACACACAAAGAATGCAACCCCAGCATGATGGTGCACACCTGTAATCCCAGCATTCTGAGAGGCTGAGGAGGGAGGATTGCAAGTTCGAGCCCAGCCTGGGCAACTTCACAAGCCCCTGCTTCAAAATAAAAAGGGCTAGGGATGAAGCTCAGTGTGAAAGCCCTGCTTTAACCCCAGAGAGGGGGTGTGCGTGAGGGGACTTACTTTTTTCATCCAGCAAACACAGGTCAGGAAAAACCATCTACATATCCCCATATGGGTTGCTGACCCCGCTTCTGCCACTTTGAACTTTAAATGAGCCAAAAGAGAGCCATGCCATGAATCAGCAACTGAGATGCTATTACTCAAACTCTGGGGTCTCTCAAATCTAGCAGATCTGGGAGCCTGCAGCAGTTGTAAGTAAAAAGACAAGCGTATCTAACTGTGGACAGGGCAGAAGAGCTGCCTCATTAGAAAGCGCAAGGGATATCCAGGTTGAAATTGTAAAGGTCTCTTTAACAACTTAGATCTTAGCCTACCTGCTTTTCTTTAAAAAAAAAAGAAAAGAAAAAAGAAAAGAAAAAGAAAAGAAAAGAAAGGAAAAAAGAGGAAGCCAAAAAGCAAATTTGAGGTAAATCGAAAATTTATCTTTTATTTGAAGGGCAAATTACAACAGATTTCTTTATGGTATATTACAAATAACATCCTAAACACACACACACACACACACACACACACACACACACAGAGAGCATAGTACTATAAATAAAGTAGTGCACTGTGGTTTTTCTTTAGGATAGATGTTTTGGGGGTTTTTTTGGTACCGGGGATCAAACTCGGGACCTTGTGCTTTCAAGGCAGGCAGTGGAACCACTGAGCTAAATTCCTGGCCCCTAGGATAGATGTTTTAAAAAAATATTATCCAAGCCTGGGGATTTAGCTCAGTGGTTCCACCGGAGCCTCACAAGCTGAAGGGCCTGAGTTTGATCCCCAGTACAAAATATAAATACAAATATAAATATATATATATATATCTCCATATCAGTACCTCATGCATGAAAGAAACCTGTCATCCCTAAATGCATTCAAGTGGCAGTTAAGACTATTGAAGCTATTACCCATATCATTATCTACTACTCCATTAGTAGCTTTGCATTATCTAATAGGAAACAAGCTATAAATGTCTCCCCAGTCTGATAGGAAACTATTCTACTTACAGCTTATCTTGCTAATATCACTAGTTTGCCAATTAAATAGCTTACATATTTATGTGAACAACTGGTTATTTGATTTCTCCCATCCTGATCCCTGTCCACCCACAGTCCAGGCCTGTAGCTAACAAAAATGCCTTATAACTCCTTGTTAATGACTCTTACATTTCAGAGACTTTCCGAGACCAAAGCTAACTCCTTCCTCTGACACACTGTTAAATTAACCAATGGGTCAAGTTCTTTGATGGTTTGATCTGTTTGTGGACACCACGAGGGTTGAAAGGTGCCAGCACAAACTGGGCAGAAACTCAGATGCAATCTGCTTTACTTGGCAGCTCATTTCTGCTGCTGTCACTCGTGAATTAAGAGTGTATATACAGCATTGATGCAGTGACAGCCGCTGAGGTACAGATCAGAGAAGGCACAGGCTGTTTATCAGCAACATGACTCATCTTGGGTTGGGGACTTAGCTTGGCAATACAGCGCCTGGTCTAGAAAGCACAAGGCCCTGGGTTTGGTCCTCAGCACCAAACAAAACAAAACAAAACTAATCTGGCAGGGAAGGCATGAATACCCCAGAGAAGGGTACAAACGGCCACAGGGAGCCAGTGACAGAGAGGGACTTCTAGCTCTAAGGTAAAGGCACTGGACCTTTTCTGGTGACACTAGCAGGCCCCACAGGCACTAATGCTCTGGTGGGTCTTCTAACAGAAGCATTCAATTGGCCTGCAGTTACTTTGCTGTTTATGCTCTGTCACCATGGAAGGAGCTTAAGCTTGTATATGTGACACATTTTCTTTGTCAAAGATTGAAGAATCAATTCCACAAAACCCATGCCTTCGGGACTGTTCTGTAGGCTTCCTAACCTCTTTGTTTCTTCTTCCTCTCCTTCCACCTTTGTCAACCCTTCCTAGAGGGATGGGACATGGCACAGATCACCACCTCTCACAGCCTTCTAGGAGGCCATCCAAGAGAAAGAGCAGAGGCTACGGGGACAGACAACCTGGCAAGTTCATCCTACAGGCTCTGGCAGTCATCTGCCTTTCTGTAAAGTGGAGATATAAATCTAATATAAAGATTTGTTCTATTATAATTTCTCTCTACACCAAACATCAGCTACCATTTTGAAGCTAGAGGTCACCCTCTGAGAAATACCATTACTAAGAACTTACCCTACAGATGCTTCCACACAAGATGCAAAGACACATATGAGACATATTTTCTAAACTGTATTCACTGCTACATTGTTATGTTTTGTTTTTGGTACCAGGGATCGAACTCGGGACCTTGTGCTTGCGAGGCAGGCAGCAGAACCACTGAGCTAAATCCCCGGCCCTATTTGTTTTGTTTTTGAGACATGGTCTCCCTATATAGCTCAGGCTGACCTCAAACTCAAGATTCTCCTGCCTCAGCTTCCCAACTGCTAGGATTACAGGCATGCAGCACCATGCCTAACTTATACACATTATTTGTAATAACAAAAACTATGGAACAATTGTAAGTGTCTACCAGCTGAGGACAGAGAACTATTTCATACCACACAGCCATAAGAAACTAGGTAGATTTCAAACTGCTAATGAAGATCTCTGAGACACACTGCTAAGTAGAAAAAGCAAGTCGTACCATGAACTTTTACCGAAGGCATGTTTTATGGTCCATTCATTACAAGCAACAACAGATAAAAACAATTTGGATTATTTACTGTATCAGGGATTTGCTTATAATCCTTGGCATATAAATCTCCATTTACTCTCTCCAATTGTGTTCACTATTCCTACCAGTACTGGGCTGGGGATTTAGCTCAGTGGTTTTGGTACCTGCTGCGCAAGCGCAAGGACCCAAGTTCGATCCCCGGTACCAAAAAAAAAAAAAAAGGCCTACCAGTACTGACAATTTAACTACCTGTAGGGAGAAAGCCTATGTTAGTTAAGATGATCTTTAAGTCATCATGCCTGACAAGTCTGCTTCCTTCCTTCCACTGTTTACAAACTGAATTCTCAGCATGTCCCACTCCAGATGAAGTTTTATAGGATATTTAAAAAACACATCCGAAACAATGGACAGTCTGCAAACAGGACCCGAAGGACACCTTGGAACAGGGATAAGACTATTGAGCGCTCAGTGTGCCAGGCACTGTACCATGTTCATCCGCACAGCTGCCCTCAGGAGGCACCAGCAGTGCCCATTTCCCTGGTGCCCAGGTGGAGGGAGAGATGGGGCAGGAGGCCCTCCCAACCCTCAGCTGCATACCGCCCCAAGACTGCCATCATTTCTTACTACTGCCAAACTGACGGGATTACACCGATGGGAGCCCACGGGCCCAAACAGTGAAAGCAGAGGCCCCTGGAGAAGTGAAGGCAACTCTGTTCCTGGCATGGATGGCAGCAGCAATGTGACATTCACTGGGAGGGTCCAATGCAGAAAGACAAAGGAGAAAGGGAAGGAAAACGGGGAGAGAACCTAGATGGGAGGGGAAGAACAGGAAGAGAAGTGAGGCTATTTTAGGAAAACCCAGAAACATTCTGTAGGGATGTGCTATACACATCCTTCTTGAGGACTTTAA